GTATTCCATTGTGTGAATATACCACAGCTTCTCTATCCATTCATTTGTTGATGGGCACTTAGGTTGTTTCCAACTCCTTGCTATTGTGAACAAAGGTGTGATAAACATGGGTGTGTGTAGCATCAGGCCTTTTTAAGATGTGTCTGCATGAAGCTGCTAGATGAAGGTGTACCCCCACACGCCACCCTCAGTCCTACACTTGCTGTGATTATTGTTTTAGTTCTGTTAGGTGTAACATTCATTTGAGAACTCTTGTGTATATTTTTGAAGGTAAATAAAATAAGCTCTCTCTTTTTCTCTACCAGTGCATCAGTAAGAATGTTGGCCCTGGGAAAATCCAGAAATTACCAAAAGAGAACGCTTTCCTGACCCAGGACCTCACGGTTCGTGTGAGCGCCTCGGCCCCGCGGCTGCTCTCTCAGCACTAGGAGTTGTGGGACATGAGGCAGAGTGTCCGTCCTTGCTGTGTGTCGTTGATCCAGCCCAGAGACTCTGTAGGACCGAGCAGGACCACGCAGGCCCCTCAGCTGCCCTCTGTGGGAGCCGACTCCCAGGGTTTTCTCCCGCCCACTGCCTCCCTCTTAGCTAGCAGCCAATGCTTAGGCTCCAGGCCTCCTTGGAGTCAAAATAAACAGAAACCCAGGGCCTTGGCCATCATTTCATTCTGACTCTCAGTGGACAGAGTAGAACCTCCCCTCACCCTGCAGGGCTTCACGGCCATAATCTGCCAGAGCAGAGGCACTCTCCTGTAGAGCGACTGGGGGTTTGAACTGCCAAACTTTCGGCTAGAACCGAGTGCCTAACAACTGTGCCACCAATGCTCCTGAGATCAGAATGTGCTGACCACCTTCTGCGCTGAGTCAGCTGCCACTTGTGAAGACCCTAGAGGACAGCGCCACTGACCCCAGGGCCTCTGAGGTCATCAGTCTTCACAGACGCCCACTGCCCATTGCTTTCTGCTGGAGTGCTGGGTAGTTTCCAACCTCTGACCTTTTACTGAATGACTGGATGTGTGGACTAGCATATCGCCTGGGCTGACTGAATTCAGAACACTCTCAGTCCGTCCTGGGACCCTGCTGTCTGTGGGAGACCACTGGGCAGTAGTCCTAGTGTCTCCTCCTCCCTGGGCCTCCAGTGTCTGCTCTGCAGCTGTGCTCTGCTGGCAGCTGGGTGCTGGTGGGTGACGCTCTGCTGATGGGTGGGTGCTGGGTGGGTGATGGCTCACATTTGGGTGCTGGCTGGGTGGATGCATGTTGTCTGACTGCTGGGTGCTGGGTGGGTGGGTTTTAGCTGATGGCTGGGTGCTGGTTGGTTGGACGTTGAGGCACTGACTCACTTGAGTTTTCTGAACTGGGATCATTTGCTTGGAATGACTGTTAGGTTTTTGTAGGATTGTTGTTGTTGATGTGACTGTTAATAAAAGGTGCACTGTTAGAACTGTCCAGGGACGAGGACGAGAGGCCTCTCTGATTCTCCTCTCTCTCGCAGCAAGAGTGCCTTGACCACTTGCTGGTCAACCTGAGGATGGAGGGGCTCTTCGTGAAGGAGAATTTCAACCTTCGCTGGGTCTCACAGACGGGCTTCGTGGAGAACATGGCTACCATCCTGAAGGAGTACAGGCACAGCCGGGGACTGCTGGTAACCACATGCTCCCCACCGCCTCTGCACATGCCCCCTGCTCCTACCTCGTGCCCCTGTCCCTGTGCCCCTGCCCCCTGCCCCTTGCTCCTGTCCTGTGCCCCTGCCCCGTGCCCCT